GAATATGAAAATATCGTAAAGACAACTTTTGAAGCCTATGTATCGAGTTTCGGCAGGAACTGAGACCTTTCGTCATGCTAAAGAACAATACTTTCAAATTCATCCATTATGGAACGTTTACTGGTCTATAATACACTAAGAAAGGACTGTGATGTAAAATCAGTATGAGCGAAAACGCGATTGTTTCTAGATAACGCCTTACTCATAGATACGCCAAACAATAATTGCAACTTCACCCTCCTTGCAAATGTGCGGGAACTTTGCCAAAACTAAGCTATGTATCTTTGTACATGTACCAAAAATAGTAGCAAGCTGTACCTCGTTTGGAGAGTTATAATTGATTTTGGAAACTGCATTCTCGCTGTTGAGCGAGCTACGACTTATTCAGCATCGAATCAACTCATTTGTAGGCGGAAAGTAGGTCACCCGTGGAAACAATGAGCGAATGCAGATGAAAATGCGCCCAGAGCTACAGCGGTTGTAGCATTTGTAGGTAGGTACATGGAATTTTGCATGAAAAGGTGTTTTACATATGGGTCGATGTCAAGGTTTTGCTATGATGAAACGTAGCGATGCAACAGTGTTTCAAACTAAAAGCAAACCGCAATCTTCATAACAAAAACGGCATCAAGCAGGTTGACTCTGCACTTCCCACGCAACGTCGTCATCAGTCATAAAGGATTAAGTTCAGCATTCGTTAAAGATGCAACATAATATTTTAGGAGCCTTAAGGCCGTCTGTCACGATACGAAATTTTGCGCTAAATTTAGTACGCTAAATTTAGTACGCTAAATTTCGTACAATATTAAGGGTAGAGTCAGACAGCATTTATTACATAATTTTGTATGAACAAATTTAGTGCTAAATTTTTGAGAACCTGTTCTAAATAATATCATACTAACAGTGCGTTTACGACTACTTCGCATTTGGAGCAGTACAATGGCACCTTCATTAGTTGATGATATCAGTAGTGTTCATCAGTTTCGCGAAACTCCCCTGCGTATGCTGTTCTAACGTGACATACTGCGAAACGAATATGATAAATATTATTGTTTATGTGCTGTAAAAAGCAGTGCCTATAAAAACAGAAAACCCAAATAAGCTGCAGTGGATAAAATCAGGATGACTTTACAACCAATTAGGCTTGTAAGCCAGTGGATCCCCCACTAGAAGTGCTTTATTCAGCACATGGAGCACACCCATGCCCTTGTCCGTCTCACTGATCCATTTTCGGCACCAAATTCTTTTACGGTTCCATTTATAGTACTTCGTTTTCTCGGTGGGTATCTACAACGCAGATCGCTGCTGCCGCATATAATGTATGCGAATTCAGGGATCATTCCGTTTTCTACAATTTTCTGTTCGTTTAAAGTAATTACGTAATTAAATAGTAAGCCGCAAAGTAAAGTGTAGTTAGAATGACTTTGACGTGATAAATAGCAGTTAGAAATTGACGGTTTTAGCTTTTTTCTAAAACTGCACATGATTTCGTACGAAACTTAGTACCAAAATTTATTTACGTATCAGACAGGATTGAAATTGGTAAACAAATTGGGAATTACGAGTTTTTTCACAAAATTTGGTACCACTTTTTTGCTTTTCGGCTATCTGGTGTACTTTGCTTTGGAAAGTATGGCAGGTTTTGCTTTATTGTAATGATTTATTACTGGAATTGTAAATTTGTTGTGAATAACATTTCATTATGATTAACCAATGCTAGTGACTTTTATGGTTAAATGTAAGAGTAGCTTAAGCTGAATTTTGCCATTTAAGTCTTACCTAGGCTGCGTTACAAAGTTCTAAAGAAATAAACACCTCTATCATTTCTCTATCATTCTGAGTTATAAGGACAAATATATGGGGAAGCCTATGATACGTGAAATATGGCTATTAGGTGCGTAGAATTACCGGGGATAGGAGCGTGCACATATATTAACATAAAAAAATTAGATATACCCGCCACCCGCCGCCCCTGACCGGTTTCGATTTTTAATCACTGATAATCCTCCCTGAAGATACGAAGATACGATCTTCCTGAACATAAATGGTGTGACCACGGCTGCGTAACCCCCCCCCTTCCTAGACAGGTTACATAAAATGCAAGTTTCTATAAAAGGGTGTCTCAAAAAAAATCAGTGGTTCTTCAACAAATCCATTCCATGAGTAAACAAACGTTTGTATACAGAACAATTTTAAGCGAAATTCTTGAAAACACAAATAAAGGAAATAATATTGATTCGTACCATTCAAACATATCCTGGCCTGCTCAAAAATGAACAAAACTTAAGTCATATTTTCGGAATAAAATTTTGCCCACTTGGCCACTTGAAAATTGCTTCCGGTCTTCAATATGTTATTGCAATTAATATATCAAAAGTCCTCATCGATCCTCGAGGCGCAAGTCGCGGTTTATAAGTTCTTTGATTTATAGGATCTAAGCTACCGGTTCGGCGTGTACGCGCTAAAAGGCTTAAAAAGCTTTATTGCCTTTATTTTGATACATTTAACGCAAACGTACTTCCGCACTTGCGATCAAATGTAATGAAAATATTGTACGATATTTTTTGTGCTAGTCATCATAGAAGGTTGTAGAACAGGCACTGTTTCCATATAACTTGTCGTTTATGAGGCATTTTTAGGAATACTTTTTGTAACGTTTTCAACAGTGTCGTGAAGACAATCGATTTTCTTCTATATCTACAAATTTATAACATATGCTTTGCTTATTTTGGATGACATGGGGGGTAGGGGAGTCTAGATGATGATTACGTCATCGGTAGTTATTTACTTTTATACACGAATGGCAACCCTCACATTGTCTTTGCTTGAAAACGAAACGCATTTTCGGGGATTCCCGCAAATAATACAAACGTTAGGTGAACAGCGCGCGGTAATTCCCCTACTCGGTTCTAAAGCGAGTAGGGGAATTACCGCGCGGTGTTCACTTGTCTAAATTTCCTCTATCAGTGTATTGTTTCGTTCGGATACTATAGCGAGTAGACGTATTGTAATCATAGTAAAGTAAGTTAGATTTGTGTTACCATTGATTCCATTAGCCAAGTGTGTTTAAATAAGATGTCGTTTCACATAGACAAATCCAAGTTATACCAAAAATTGTTTGAATGTTTTAAAAAATCTCATACAAGTACGAAAGTACAAAATGTATAAAAGTTAGTTAACGAAGTGTGGCGAAATTATAAATTACAAGCAAAATCCGACAAGGAACTAGATATTATTGTATCTAAGAGAATCGAAGAAGAATTGAAAGCGGCGACTAAGAATAAATCCAATCTACTAATTTTTTTTTTCTAAGGTGAGTGACAAAATCATTTCAGGTACCTATGAGTACTAGAAATATTAGAAATAGCCAAAAAGTTTCTCTTTACTGATTAGAAAATATTATGGCCTCTCTTAAAGTATAGAGGTAATATTCATTATACATATTATAGACATATTTTTCATGATTGATTCCGTCAATTGGTCACAAAGTACAGGATGTTAGCTTTATACATATATACAGAAAACTAACACCCTGTATTTTGTGACCGGAACGAATTGCTCGTTTAAACATATTAGATTTAAAGCCATAGGGTTTTGTATTTACCATATATATTGCCATACTTTGTATTTAAGTAGCTTAATAACCTAAAGAAAAAACACAAATTATACAGTCAGCTTCAAATATTAAAAAAGAGGAAGAAGATAAAATAAAACCTGGTAATGAATCACAACAGCAATGAGAAATTAATGAAAATACAGATAAACAGAGAGCAAAACCTTCTCAGGAAGCTACGAAAAATAAGATTGCTCTACTCGAAAAAAATCTGAATGCTTTGTATTCCGCCAGAGATACTATGCCAAGCCGTGCTGAAGTTGATAAACAGATCATTAAGTTGCGCGAGGAAATAAAAACAGCAGAACAGTCTCTAAACAGGAAGGTTCAAAACGCAGTTCCCAGAAGAAACACAGGGATGGTATGAAAAGAAAGTTAGAAGATATTTGTCATGAAAATCCAGAAATAAAAAAAATACTATCTCTGAGGGATTCAGTGGGACGTCCTAATCTTGAAAGCAATCAATATTCACTATTGAAAACAATCGCGGATATAGCTTTATTTGGGAGTGCAGCAGATGATAGAAGACGAACGGAATCAATTCGCAGCTTAAAAACTCTTGATGAACTCACACAAGAATTACATAAAATAGGATTTGACACTAGTCGCAGTGGGACATATCTTCATTTGATTCCCAGAAAATCTAATTATGCAGAGGGACGAAGACATGTATCGACAGTCCCTGTTAAGCTCATTCGGGCTCAAACTGATGACCACAAGAGCCACTTAACAAGTTCGCTGAAACATCAATCCATTATTTAGAGAACATAGCATCCATACTTGGACCAGATCACGTATTTTTCATATCTCAAGATGATAAAGCTCGAGTCCCTATTGGCGTAACTGCGGCAAATAAGCAAGCACCTCTTCTAAGGCACATGGAATATAGAATCAAATTGCCTAGATATTCTGGACCAACATTCATCGCTATTCGAAGTGGAAAGCATAGTTCATCTACTGCTAATACTCATGCTCAGGATTTCGAGACGCTTCTCGAACTTGAAGAGTTTCGACCATTAGCTAAAACTGACCATGGACTAGTAAAACCAGTGGTAATCGTGACGGTTGATGGAGGGCCAGATGAAAATCCACGTTATCAAAAAGTTTGCTATACAACACTTCAAGCGACATGATCTCGATGCATTGTTTTTAGCTACCAATGCTCCTGGAAGAAGTGCGAATAACAGAGTAGAGCGCAGAATGGCTCCTCTTAGTCGGGAACTGGCTGGTTTAATATTGCCTCATGACCATATTGGGTCTCATTTGGATGAACGTGGCGTTACAATTGATGAACGTTTAGAAAGATCTAATTTCGAATTTGCAGGAAATGTATTAGCTGAAGTATGGAGTTCAATGGAAATTGATGGCTATAATGTTAATGCAAAATATGTCGGGACAGGTGAACAAGATCTTCCTGATTTTCCAGACATTAAATGGTATTCAGAACATGTGCAAATGTAGAAATACAGAATGCTGTCGTCCAAGAAGTGGCCTATTTAGATTACTAGACAATAGGTTTCTTCCACCACCTGTAAAAGTAAAACAAACAGTTGATGACTTGGTTTTGGATGAAGGAGGGCAATTTCTTAATCTTCCAGTCAATTTAGCTCTATGCTTAAGTGCTTAACTCAAAGATTTCTTGCAAATGCCCTACGATTATTTTTGTCCGACGGTAAAATTGAGGCTATCAGGTCGAACATGTAAAACCTTTGGTCTTTATCATGCTTCCGTCAAGTCACTAAATCGTCACATCGAAAATATCCATAAAAAAGTAAACACGCACACTGATAGGAAAGTTAGACCTGTAAGAGTCGCTGCTCGTCGTGCTAATGAACTGATGTGCATTATTCAAAATTTAGAGCACCATGATGTTGAATGGCTCGATGAGAACGACGTAGACATTCCAAAATCCGATGAAAGCGAGCAAACTCACAACACACAAAACTTAGAATCATGGATTCGGGTTTCATGGACTGAAGACTGTTAATTTGAATTTAATATATGTACCAAAAATTTAAAATAAGCTTGTTATGTTAGTAACATATAATATTTTTCTCCTTTACTCTATGTTGAATACCGTATCAGTAAAATATAATCTCTATCCTAAATCTATTTTCTTATTTTTCAAATTATAATTATAACGTTATAATTATAATATTAAAAAAAAACAATACATTAATTGACAAATGTTTACGTGAGCATGGGGGAAGGGGGTTAGAGCTTTGCTTACTTTTGCTGACAAGGGGGATGGGTGGTAAATAATTGTAATAAATCTGCTTACGTAATACTTGAACGGCCCCTTACTCGTACTGTCCCAAAGAATTATGAAAAATGGTAATTTTGACATGTATCCTCTAATAGAAAATTTTGTGCTCCAAGGATCGATGAGGACTTTCGATCTATCAATTGTAATAACATATTGAAGGCCCGGAGCAATTTTGAAGTGGGTATTTTTTTTTCTGAAAGTGCGACTCGTCTTTCGTTCACTTTGAGCGCAGCTCAAGCAGACCTGTATGTGTTTGAATGATACGGATCAATAATAATACCTTCTTTTTTGAGTTTTCAAGCATTCCGCGTTCAGTTGATCTGCACACAAATGTGTGGTTGCCCATGCAATGCATTTTTATAGAAGTCACTGTTTTGGCACAAACTGTATAAGTGGTGTGTATACCTAAATTGCATACATCAATGCTTCTACATATATGTTCATACTGAACGGTAGATGCCGTACAAGAGCAGAATAGTATCTGCGAGTCCGCAGGTCACAATTGTACTTGAACAATTTTATAGATAATTGTATTCCCTACAATATTTTTATGACGTACTTTTGTGGTATTCCCTTTTAGAGAAATCTGACATATACGTGGTATTTTTGACATTTCAACCCAAAACCTAATTTTCATTTTGACTGCATTGTCAAGTCAAAAAGCCATTCGTAACAATATTTTAGCTGATGCTCACCTCTACAACAGCGTCAGTCTTCATGAGTATACAAGTGGTTCCAGTGTGGCTGTTTATAAAACGATAGATGGCCACCCCTGAGTCATCTTGCTTCGGTGTTGATGCTCCTCCATCACCTGGCGATGCTGTTGAAGGAGCTAACTTGATGTGCTTAGGCTTTGAAGTAGGCTGGTTTAGGTTGATTGCCGAACCTAGGGAGAGAAATGATTTTAAGCTATATAAGCTCCGGTATTTAAAATGTGTAATAGGAGACATGCAAAAATATTAGTCTGGGCAATAACAATAATTTATTCACAATATTTATACAACTTGAATAAATTCAAAAAGAAATACCACAAAAAGATAGTGTCTTGCGCGGGGTTTTAAGTAATCTAAAAGTTCTTAAAAACTAGGAGTACATACTTCAAACCTATTCAAATGCTTCTTATGGAAAAAATATTCTTATTCAGATTTTCTTACATAATCTCGTTTAAAAAAGGCTTTACGAATGAGTGAGTATATTGAACTTGGTACACAGAACCAGTGAAAATGGTAGAAGTCGATTCTGTCAAAATTTAAAGACACTGACTAACCAAAATGTCTGTGTTATATACCGCGGTTATAATGTGGTTTAAGATGACACGAGTTGATGGCGTCAGTTACTCAGATCGCTTGAACGGGTTGGTTTTAACCGCAGTTTTGTTGCATTATTGCTTAATCATCGGTGCTTTTTCGTCTATAACAGTGGTATGGAAAAAAGAAACCTTTCATACTATTACTGGAAGAAATGTTTTTTTTTTCGGAAAATATTGTTCAGGTGTTAAATTACTTGGGAAAATCTCTCAATTTCAAACAAGTTTGTCGTGAAAATAAAAGATATGGCGTCCAAAATTTTAATCGTGAAACCATGGCTTTGTAGCTATGATAACTTTCAATTCTTTAAACTTTTCCCCAAGTCAAAGAAAACATTTATTGAAATGACAGTAATGAGTATAACTAATAAGCAGCTCTACTTGATGCTAAAACTGAAGTAACATATATCAAGTTTCCCAAAAACGAAGCTAAAGTACAACAAAAATATCCAATACCCGCCAAAATTCTAACTGGTCACATTTCAAATAATAACCAGAAATATAAAACTACTCCTGAGTTGGGTAAATACCACAATTTTACTGTAAAAGCTATGTCATGTAATAGATGATTGATGACGTCACGGACTTTAAACCCAACTGACAACCATACTTGCTTGAACGGATTGGTAAATACCAATCCGAAATGGTAAATACCATTTTCATTCGGTTATTCGCCTGGATTTGATTTAGGTTATTAAAAATACTATCAGTTTTGACAATAAATAGTTTTATTGAAGGATTGCCACTGGCTAACCAAGTTGACATCTATTTTGAACAAGATGGGGCACCACCTAACAATTCTCATGCGATAAGAGAACATCAGAATGACACCTTCCCAGAAAAGCGGATTGGACTAATGGACCTATTCAATGGCCTCCGAGTACATCCTTAAGTTGCCATATTTTTTTTCTTTGGGGTTAGTTAAAAATCAGGTGCATAAAACTACGTTAGCTACTCAAAAAGAACTGGAGCACAAAGTAAGGGCGGCATTCCGGTACATCACTGCGGAACAGTTAATCAATGTGGTGCAAGCAACAATTGTTAAAGTTGAACTTTGCCGTGATCAATGAGGACGCCATTTTGAACACTTAGAGCCTTAATTTTTTAATTTTATTTCTTGTTATAGTAAAGACAGGATACGTATTTGACTCATTTGAATAGTTCACTCCAACTTAGGCCAACACGTCTATGTCTTTTTCTTTACTGACGATAAAGTTATTCGCATTTTCCTCTGGTTCGTTTTATATTTTGTATTTTGAGAGCAACACAAATTGTTTGTCGTGGATAACTAGAATAATAGGACTTAGTGCATAGGTATACCGATACGTATCATTTGTTAGTGAGACAAGATTTTTTCTTACAATTATTCAAAAAATGGTGAAAATAAAATAAGAGTGTGTAGTGTCAAATTATTCGCAAGAAAATGGTGTCTTAAGGCTGCTACACACAGTGCCGGCGGCAGGGCCGCCGGCTAAGCCTCCGTGCACCCGGCGGCATACAAAGCCGCCGGCCTTGCCGCGCAAAGGAGCCGCCGGGGTGTGCCGGCGGGTTACGCGGCTTGCCGGCGTCACTTTCTTCCTGGCATTCGAGAGGTAGTGTTGTGCGGTTTGTGTGTTGCACTTCACTAGCGTTCTATGTGACTGTCACAACCGGAATGATGCTTGGCGGCTTGTATTGCCGCCGGCTTGTGTGTAGTAGCTTTTAGAAAGAGCCGACGAGCCATCCTCTTTCTAGTTGAAGAAATCAAGCAAAATTAGTGTTTGTAACGTTTAGTAAACCTTTTAAACGACTGTAAGGTCGTTCGCCTCAAAATCGTATTTTTCCCGTGTTACTTGATCAAAATTGAAGCGATTTACAGGATCCATGGCATTCTAGATCGAAACATGAAAGTTGAAATAAAAATGATGAGGCGTTGTTGAATTCATAATGTCATTCTCGATCGAAATAATTGAAATATATAGGGTGTCCCATGTAACAATCAAAAGTTGGAGTCGTTTCCGGTCAAACCGGAAGTACGTCGAATCAAGTGAATATGTCAAAAAATGTAAATTCATCTATAATACGTAACCTCCAAATTTCGTTTTTCTATCTTCAATAATAAAAAAGTTATAAGGGTGAGCCACCTTGGAGAACCACCCGGTATAGTTCCGGAATCCACATGTTTATTTTGCTACCAGACAAGAAAATGTGTTTGTTTAACGGGAAGGTTGATTTAGCATGATATGTGTTCAGCAGTTTTGTACTATCTATTTGAGAAATCTAATGTATGTTTAAAGAACAAAGTGGATAATGTGCTCGTCCCTATCCTTAGTTTTGTTGTTAGTGAATTTATATATTTATGATGCAGATGATACATCAATATGAACAAAATACAAATCAGAGATTCTGTTGAAAAAACCTCCATTAGTTTGTGCAAAACTTTGATAAAATCAACCTCCATATAATAGTCAGTGATGTCATGAAGAATCTTCAGAATTCGAGAACACTTGAGATTGTTCTATTTAGGATATATGATATTTTTTGTATGAAATTAATTTCCGTACTATTCGTGATATGTATTCACTTTACCTTGTTAGTCCGGGCAATGTGAATGATTTGACCATTTTGTTTTTTATCACCATAGGTGCAACTAGAAGTTATTGTTTATTTTTTGAAGAAGAATAAATAATTATTTGAAATATCTTCCTAAATTATATACTAATTAACATTTCTGCAAAAATACAGAAAGCTTATAGGGCTCACTTTGCCCGAGTCCACACTAGGAACCTTGATGCAAAGTATTGAATCTCCAACATAAAATATCTCTTTATTTTCGTAGCATATTATCACCAAATATAATTTCTTTGAAATCAAGGTCATAGCCTCAAGACGTTTTGTGTTCCTGAATGGAGAACATTTTGTTTGTGGTGATGGGCGCAGCATCGAAAGTGCCATCAACATTCTTTTAATGAATGCAATCGACTAGTGTACGCAGCATAGTGAATCAACGGAAGGTTCAGAAGTTAACGCAAATTAATATGCAACATGTCCCAGCCTTGGACTAGAAAATATGAAATGTACAATGTGTACAAGTTTTGCTTATTACAAGGACGTACCCTTAAGGAAAGAAACTGTAAGAAAAAAACAATAAAAAATCGTAGTTATTGACTCTGTTTTCAATGGTATTCTTAAAAAAATAATATGTATAAGCTTGCCGCCGTAATATGCAAAATGTGCTTACTGGAAAAAGAACCTTGTTCAAGCATTGATAAGAATAAAAGCATACAGCAACGACACAGGACACATATGTCATCCTTAGGGTTTTACAAGAACAAAGGTGTGATATAAAATATTAATTTGATACCTACATAGTGTCAAGAGGACTGCGATAAGAACGAAAACACTGCCGGAAACAACAGCGACCTGAATCGCCATTGTTTAACACGAAAGGAGTGAATTTTCACACCACCACTGAACGACTCTACATAAATACGTCAGCATACGTGCAAAATGGAGCAACAGAGTGGTGGATCAGACTGTGCTAAACTGTGCAAAAGGCTCTGTCTGAATTGGGCGGCTGTCTGCGCCCGCGCCCACGCACCCTGAGACACCGCGACGTCGTTTGCAGTGTTGCCGCGCCTCGGGCGTCTTCAGGGAAAATGATTACAGGTTAGGGTAGGTGAGTCAAGATGACTAACTCGATACCCCTAGCTTCATAGAAGTACGATAACTAAAAAGCATTTCAAAAACTTATGTTCTACGCTGAAATTTATATTCTTATAAAAATGTCATTTGGCTGCACCTTGAAATCATAAGGCGCGTTAGGTACGCAAAATGATGGGAAGCTTCATACACGAAAATCAAAATATTGAATATGTTTGTTATGATAACTGATAATTAAGATAACACAGAAATTAAAAACCATTCCTTGGTATAAGCGAATATGGAAAACGAATCATGAGAGTACAAATAGAACTTCCCTGAAATTAAATGAATATGCAGACGAAACTTATCGTGGAAATATGAGATAGTAGGTGGTAGACGGTCTCTGACTGTCGAACGCAGAGGTACCATCCGGCGGATCTCGTAGGCGGGACCAGAATGTGTGCACACGTGTTCCCTCGCCAGAGTCCGTGTGGCGTTCCCCCTTTCCCCTGTATCCCCCTATAGCCCCACGGTACCCCATGGGTGCTTAGGCCTCAGGCCTTCATGGTAGTTGGAGTATAAAAGAAATAGCCACCATTAAAACGTGAGTCCAGCCTGATATAATACTGAAACTTGCATTCGCTCCCAAGCATATAACGTATCCAAATTTTGGTGAAAGTGCACGACTTGACACTAATAGTGGTTTTGAGTAAAAGGTAAGTAAATTCTTACGGGAACTGAATTGCTGATGGACTTTTCCAGTAGATATTAAGGATACTTGTGTACTGGAAACTCTCAGTTTTACTAGCCTAATTCATCTAAAAGCTCTTAATATGAAATTAATTCTTGGCGGTAGTATCATCATGCCTGTGGCAAGAAGATTATGCGATTGTAAAATTAAAAGCCGCCGACACAAGAATATAAATGGCTTCGGATAAAAAAGGTTTCCTTAAGCTTAGTGAAAATTGCAGGCATTTAGTAAATTGACATAAGCGATCAATATGCCTTTTTTGTTAATAACAATTTGTATTTGAACAATTCTAAATGCCGCATTTTGACCTTCACCCGGAAAGCCAAATGTTTAACTTACCCATACAAAATAAATGATTTTATATTGGAAAGGTGTGAAACATTCAAAGACTTGGGCGTCTATTTCGATTGTTAGTTCTATTTTAACTACCACATCAGTGAAATTATAAGTACTTAATGCTTATCGCAAATATGGCTTTATTATCAGAAATTGTAGAAATCTCAATAACACAACGCTTATTAAGTTATTTTCAGTGCTTGTTATAAGTAAATTAGAATACGGTGCAATTATTCTATCTATGAACTATACAAAAATAATGTTGAAAAAGTGCAAAAGAAATTTCTAAAATATCTATGCTATAGGAGTGATGGTGTCGATGACTACTCACTATTATTGGATAGATTTTTCGTCCCTTCTTTGGAGAAGCGCAGAGAGCAGGCGTCCATCATATTTATATACAAATTACAGCATGGTAACATCGACTGTCCTGTTTTGCTATCGCAAATTAATTTCCTGGTACCTAGATTGACATCTAAATATAAAGTTTCTTTTTCTGCAAGAGGGCGCAGACAAATCTTCTATCTAAAGCACCAATAAACTTTATGTACAATAATGCGAATAGGATTGTGAGCTTTTGTGATATCTTCTGTTGTGGATATCAGGAATTACGAACTGCTATACGTTCACATCTTGGACTTCTTTTACGCCTTTCTCTTGAGGTTTTCGTTTGTTATATATTTATATGTGAACATTACATGATATAGCTAGATATATGTATATATGTGTGTATAGGTGTGTATGTATGTGTATATGGATACGTATGTATATACGAGTATATTCTGTTTTCCTAATATCTATTAATCATATTTATAGTTTCTTTTCTCCCTATTAAATGCGCCTTCTTCTTTTCTGTGTGTTTTTTTGTTTCACTTTATGGCACACAGACTATGTAAATTAAACCATTGTACTATTGCTCTCCAGATGGCACCTATACTGTTGGGCAATAAATGCTTTATTATTATTACTATTATTATTATTATTATTATTATATTATTATTATTATTATTATTCTCTTTCGTGATTCAAAAACATTGATAGCTGTTTTGCTGTCAGAAGTATAGCTGAAAACCTGCAGTTTAATACTAACTAGATGCGCGAGAATATGGGCCTATCAGGTGAGAGTTATCTAAAGAAGCACCCGGTGCGAATGGATGACCGAGCTTTGCCGTGCATTCAAACTCAATATCAAGACGATGCTGCGTTCTGAACAATACAGGTGGCCTCGTCAAGCGTCTTCCTCGACATCCTTGAAATAAAGAGAAACTATCTCCCCTTTTTTATTTGGGTATCGATAACAATGAGCAATAAATTGAAATTTTGGCGAAAGTGCACGATAGGCATGGCTCGTATCTCGTATGTACATTCACCATAGTGAATCTACGGTTACTATGGATGGGAGTTCTAGCAAAGTTTTATTCTAACGAGTTCTGACTAATTCGTGCACATAAACATACAATTGTGTGCAACATGCACACATTCTGGCCCTGCCTACGGGATCCGTCGGGTGGTAGCTCCGCGTTCGACAGTCAGAGACCGTGTATACCAGCACGTCAGAATATGTACGTCATCAGAAGCTCTTTTTATCGTACTTACTTGGTTATTCCAACATATTATAACTTAAAAAGTGACATTAAAAAGTCACCTTCGGACTAGCTGACATTCACGTGATGCTCACTTGTAGCAACAACGGAATGAACTAGCGGCACTCTAGCGACCACCTAGTGCACAAGTTGGCATTTTACCGATTTTTTAACATTACATGTTTTTTACGTAATAACTCTGCAAGTTTGTTCGCCACATTTTAGGATTATTTAATATTACTATATGTAGCTTTTCCTATCGATTAGCCAAAACTTATAACAGAAAATTCCTTCACCTGCGCCACTGCAACTAATGGCTATTTATAGAATTTGTACTGATACTGAAAATTCTTAAATCTCGATTATCGAGGATAGGGGCGTCGTTAGATGAAAAGCGGTGCAATAGTGGGGGTCACGATAACGATCTTCATTCATTTTCGTTGCAAATGTATGTGGCAACCCTGCATTTCAACCCCCATCAATAAGGCAACGCATGCGATCAGTAGCATAAACGTGGGCCGCAATGTTCATTGATGACGGGAGCATCAGAGCAATATATATGTCCACCAATTTATACTACCAGCCCCCGCTAACACGTTCAGAAAAATGCATTTTCGTCACGTTCAGGTTACGAAACATTGCATAAAACGCAACAACGCAACCATATTGATGCGGCACTGCTTTTATCTCCCAAGATATAAGTAGGCGGAGAAAGTATATCGAGAAAAATGTCAAAGTTGAATTATTACATTTGTTGAAAATTGAAACGAAAATCCATACCCACTCATTTTCATCGACCTAGTTATCGTCCGCCTGTAATTACAGTAACTACTGGACCGATTTTAAACGATTTTTATACTATGGATTGAATGCCTTTGAATTTAATAAGAAAATCAACTTCAAGATTCCTATTTCAAGGATTACACAGATTAAACGGCTTGATTGAGGTATCTGTAGATTTTTGTGACAGAGTGGGTATACGAGCTTTTAAAAAATCAAAATAGCTGACTTTTAAGCGAAAATTTCAGCTTTCCTATCCTACCGGCTACAGCTTAAGAGGCTTGATGCATTTTGACATATGACATTCCTGTAGATTTACATAGACTTATCTTAGTAGCACAATTGATTCATAATCTTCAGTTACTGCAGTCGGAATGTTTGTATTTTTAAAAATGCACGTCTCTTTCTTTATGCACCTGAGCATCTGAAAGGGAGAGCACGGCACACCTCGACAGTTCAGATCTACCAAAGTAACTTTTGCGGATGTTTTGAAAACAAAAAAAAATCACACACACACACTCCAGTCGTTACTTAAAAAACTGATACCCTATTACATATATTTTACTTCTCACCCGGAAGCTAGGAGGGCATATGCCCTTCCTTGTCCCGCTAACGGGCACCCATGCATCGGCCTACACTTTTACTTCCAACGCCTATTGGCGAGGAGGTAGTGTAGCACAATTGATTCATAATCTTCAGTTACTGCAGTCGGAATGTTTGTATTTTTAAAAATGCACGTCTCTTTCTTTATGCACCTGAGCATCTGAAAGGGAGAGCATGGTACACCTCGACAGTTCAGATCTACCAAAGTAACTTTTGCGGATGTTTTGAAAACAAAAAAAAATCACACACACACACACTCCAGTCGTTACTTAAAAAACTGATACCCTATTACATATATTTTACTTCTCACCCGGAAGCTAGGAGGGCATATGCCCTTCCTTGTCCCGCTAACGGGCACCCATGCATCGGCCTACACTTTTACTACCAACGCCTATTGGCGAGGAGGTAGTGTAATCGCGAAGAATTTCGAAAATGATGTACAGTGGCGGATTTAGAGGGAGGCGCGCCCCCCCGCCTAGACGTCTGACACTTGCTTTTGTAATCTAACACCATTGTGTTACTTTCTGACACATCATGGCGACATACGCATACCAACTATAAGTTAGCTATAAGAACTGAGCATTGCGATTTTTCGGTATGCTTTGGTATTCCAAACACTGTCCCTCTTCGACATCACTTACGTTTACAGCACAATTCTTACGATTTATACGTACCTATATACGAGTATTGTGATTTGTGACAAATCTAAGTCTAAGCAATATATTAGCTATACAGATTGCACTTAAAAAGTGATTTATGTTCTGTTTGTTGCTCAATAGTAATTTGAAAAGTGTGTAAAGCTTGACTGATTTTGTTCGGGGTTGGTGTTGCAGCGAAGCACTATTAGTCTAATCATATTGGAAGAAAATACCTCTGGTTTGCGAAATAATTTTAAGTCTGGTTTTATTGCTGCAAGTTGCTCATAGGGGGTATTC